CTAACCCTAACCCTAACCCTAACCCTAACCCTAACCCTAACCCTAACCCTAACCCTAACCCTAACCCTAACCCTAACCCTAACCCTAACCCTAACCCTAACCCTAACCCTAACCCTAACCCTAACCCTAACCCTAACCCTAACCCTAACCCTAACCCTAACCCTAACCCTAACCCTAACCCTAACCCTAACCCTAACCCTAACCCTAACCCTAACCCTAACCCTAACCCTAACCCTAACCCTAACCCTAACCCTAACCCGCACACGCGTGCTCAACCATACAAATTGGCCGTGGCGGATGATCGCGCCCAACGCTCCGGTAAATCACGCCCAGCACTCATATAACGAAAAGCATGGTCAAATACATCCCACAACGGCAATAAGTCTATACTAAAAAGACGCGGCCTTTCACAGCAGTTGTGGCTCACTGTGCGCGTAAACTGCGAGACAGTCCTCCACACAACAAACGCACACACCGCCAGCAGTCACCCACAATGGAAGATGAGAAGCGACACAGCGCCACCGCCTCCAGATCAATCCCACGGACAACGGGATACGGTCACAGCCCCGCTGCCAACAAAAACAACGCACACCAAGCCAGCAATCACCCAAAGAGCCTAACGCGGAAGCGGATTATCATCCATCCATGACGCGGTGCCTAACCCCACGCGGCCACACGGAGAGCGCACTGTTTCCTCAATAGAACTTACCCTTCGTCCATCTCTTGAAGATGCTTCACTTAATGATCGGTCCTATAAAAAAATAGAATAAAAAGGAAAATGTATTAACACTACGATACAGCTAAAGACAGCAATTCCTTAATGACAGAGCAATTCTCTTATTACGTCTTGTATACAAATAGAAGCATTCGCATAAATAAAAATCCTTCAATATTTTCTTACCACTAATTAAAACGCCCCTGGCATCCCTGATTTCTTTTTCTGTCATTGTGAATGAATATCGCGTTGTAATTTTCTTGGCATCTCCACGTCTTACTCCTAAAGCGGATGGTGCACCGGTGCCGTATAAAAAAACAAACATTCACATGTATTAAACAACTCAATATATTTTTTTCACCAAAAATATAAATTTCCCTTTCCTCACTTAATTTCTTCTGTCACTGCTATTATCACTCGCGTTGAACATTCTTAACACTTTTTTGCGGTGCTGCCGCGTGATGCTGGTGCATCCGCAACGTATGCACACACAAGTGTCTGTATATATTTATATATTTCGAAAAAAAAATTTACCATAAATCAAAATGTCTCTTTCACTTTTCATTTCCTATTCTGTTTCCTGTTCTTGTTCTTCTTCCACAATTGGGAGAGCTTCTTTTCTTCTAAAGTCTCTGGATGATACAGAAACTTGGTACTGGTGTACCTCCTTCTCCCAGAACGCCACAATTTCTTTTTCATCGTCGCTCAAATTATCGGTTTTGGCGGGACCACATCTCTGCCAGCCAGTCATCGGCGTGCTGTCTGCGTGTTGTATATAAATAATCTCCCACGACAATCCTTGAGAAAATTCACCCCAACCATTAAAATATTTCGCCATATTTTCTTTGAACAGATTCACGGTGCTGGGTATGGTGTGGTGCTCACTTGCCGTAGTAATCTGCAGCCCAACCATGGTCTTCGGATTTGACTCCATGAAGAAAAAGGCGTCCAACAGCGGAAAGTTTTGGGCCACCGGTTTGTACAGCACCCGAGACTCTATTTCAATTTTCTTCTCAAAATTTTCCAGTAACGGTAAAGGAAGGGGCTTGAGAGGGCGCTCATTTGGATGCACTCTCAACGCACAGAGATGTGGCGGAGCATCTTTATTTTTTTTCATTTTCAGCTCATTGAGTTTCGGTATTATTGCATTTACAAAGGCCTCGCTCAAAAATGCAAACACGGAATGCTTTTCAAGGACTTTTGATATGAGATCGTCCTTTATAGCCAATATGAGTAAAATAAAATCATTCGGCGCCATTAACTCCGCCAATTTGCATAATGTTAAATTTCCGAGATAAGGAGACATCAGTCCATTAAAGGTCGATTCAATATTGTGTACTCCTCGTACTCGGACGATCCTCACAAGTTTGTGAGACACTTTGTCACCACCCAACAATTGCGTAGTTCCGAAGTGAAGGTAATATTCGGCATCGATGCGGTTCAGTTTATCAACAGTATCTCCGCACGATTGAATCCGACCATCGTATTTGCTGTCATCAAAGATGTAGCGAAGAATTGGTCCCACTTCTTCCATTCGACCATTTATATTCCTCCAGTACTCAGCTTGTACACTTGAATCATTGCGCTTCATCCAAACGCACATCGCCTTCACATCGTCTTTTTCAGGACAATTCATTATGATTCGCTTCGGTGACTTGTATTTCTCCCATGCGTCAAAGTTGTCCTCGTTTGGAGATGAGAGCACAATCATGCCCCATCCCCGAGTAGTAGCAATCTGATACGGTTTACGGCCCCCTTTTGCCACGTCGTAGATAATATACGCATTCACCCCGGGGATAGAAAGGGAACGAAGAACATCGTCAATACTGAAGTCACCCATGTATTTTGTCACCGTCTTGGTGGTCTTTTCAAACAAGAATGCATCATTTCCAATAACGTACAGAACCACAGGGAGTTTCTCGACATCGTAGTGCAGCAGCTGGTAAAGGAGGTACGAGCCGGCATTCATCGACTTCCCGATCCCGGGCGTCCCAATCAACAAAAGCCGCCCAGGCGTCAAGTTGGTCCCACCGTGAGGGATGAACCATTCGTTTAGATAATGCTCGACGATCCGCCACGCTCGCTCCACCTCACAGTTCACGTGGCAGTCACGAATGAATTCATCCTCCTCCCACGAGTACGGCCATCCCTTGTCCGAGGTAAGCACCATCAACACGGGAGGTGCTTCACCGGATTGCTGCACACTGTCATCCTTTTCGCGGGTTTCGCCAACTTCCTTGTACGTCCATGACTGTTTCGGTTTCCCCTCTTCCACCTTCATTACCGTCCCCTCGCTACCAGAAACTTCCACGACATGGCTCCAACTCGCATTGTACACAGACTCGTACAATCCCTCCAGCACCGTTGATTTAACCACGGACGTTGATGTCTGCACCCGAGAAAGAGCAGCGTCTAGTGTTCCCTTTGCAAGAGGACTGACCGTATCCTTTCCTTCATAGTTCCTCCATTGTTCGAGAGAGACAACACCTTTCTCGTGAAGCATGCGTGCAACTTTTTCCATATCCACTTCCTTCATTACAGCCCTCCCCATCTTCAAATAACGAACCGTTGTCTTCATTCCGTTCAGTACTCTCGCATCGTGGATATACTCCGTGGGTTCATTAAAAAACTCCTCCAGCAAAACACTCCGATTGGTGTCCACAATGCCCTTGCCTTCCATTTCCAGCAGAAGAAAATCATTCAGCTTTATGTCCTTGACGCGGACTCCTCCTTGAAAAAGCACATCTTCGATATTAGTGGACATGGTAAATTTCATTTCTGCCTCACGCCGTCTTACCCTTTCCTCTGCCTCCTGCCTCACTCTTGCTTCCGCCTCTCGTATTAATTTTTCCTCCTCCCGCTTCGCTCTTTCGTCTGCCTCCCGCCTTTCTTCTTTCTGTATCTCAGCGAGTAGTCCGTTTAGCTTTCCACTTGCAAGAGGAGTGAGCGTATCCCTTCCTTCATATTCCCTCCATTGCCAGAGAAAATACACACCCTCGTGATGAAGCTTATTAATAGCCTCCAGCACTTGGTATGACGGCGATGTCTTTATTGTGTGTAATAACCCTTTCTTTTTGATAAACGTCTCGGGATTCTGAACAAAATTCCCCATCGTGACGTTCCCATTTCTTTTCACAACCCACTCCTCGCCCAAGTTGCTCCGGAGGAAATCGTTCAGCTTCGTGTTGGCCCTGTTAGTGCTTCCCTCCAGCAGAATATCCTCTACAGTGCTGCTCATGGTCCACTGCGGTCGACGTATTCCCTCCAATCTTCTACGAGTCGTAGAGGAATAATCTGTGTCACCCTCAAAGTCCGACCTCGTTCTCCTCCGACCTCCCTGCGAGACATTGGACGATTGACTCTCCACATTGCCGTAAAGTCCTTCCTCGGGCCTTCCAGACATCGTTTCTCCTTGCTTTCTTAGTTAGTTTGAGTTAGATCTAAACAATGGCCACCAAACAAAAAAGGGGGATGAGAAAAAGAAAGACAATAGGCACAGTCATGAATCGAGGCCTCAACAAGGGACTCACCCACACAGTGTGACGGCGCAGTATTCGACGCACACCACATGCACGAGGACCACCACAACGACGGCGAGTGGATCTCATCCACCCAGCACAGTGTTGGAGAGAGCAAACAACAACAAAGCGGTGCGCACGGAGGGTTCGTCCACGCATACCGCTCGCTACGGTCCCGCACCCGTGTGGCACCGCCGTCACCGCACACACCCTGCAAGAGGACGTGGACACATCGTCACTGACAGAAGCACACAAAAGTGGAGGAGAATTCGGTGCACAACGGCCACACGCAGACACACAAATCATACACGCCACAACAGCGATGCATCACGGTAATCCCCCACACAACAGAAAAGAGTGCAACTTGCATGCTTTGTGGAAAATATCTGCGGTGTGCATGGCAAAAGAGTGCCGTGACGCTGCCTTTCATATTGCATTTGCCATTCACGTATCACTTGGAAGCACGCAGCCACCACTCCTCCGTTCCGCTCCCCGTGCTGCTCGTGTCGCTCCACTGGAGGAAGTCGTCACCACACATCCCCATCACCGTGCATTGCAGAATACAAACCTACCACACGGCATGGGTGCGGTGCCACCCCGCCAATAAATTCCAGGAAACTCCCCGCTGCCTCGTGTGGCACGGGCGGCAGTCTCATTATGCCTGGGGAAGGCTTTTTCTTCCCAAACAAGAACGCGGCCGCACCACACGCCCGTAAGAACGCTTGGTCCGTCGCACGCAAAGGAGTTGAGCGGGAGAACAGCAGGAAAGGCAACACCGGCAGCCATGAGCAGCCCGCACACGCAAACACACCGCTGCCCCGCATATCACCAAAAATAAAAATACCAAAGAAACTTGTCACATCCCAACTGCAAATCGCAAGTGCGGTTGCAGCACACACTCCCACCTCCTGGGCGTGTGCGGCCCCTCGCTGCTCGGCACTCTAAGTGAGATCACCAAAAGCACCAATTCAAGAAAATTCGACCACCGCCACAGCAGTCACGCTCCCCATTTCTCACAAAGACAAAGGCTTGCAGTGGCGCAGCGGACGGCGGCATGCACCGTCGCAGAGTAATGGACTGCCGCGGGAATCACGCAACGGCGATGCGCCCCTCCTTTGGGCCTCCCAACAAAAAAACATGTGTCGCGCAGTCCCCGTGAGCAACACACATTGAACCGTATTCAGCTCCACTACTGTGGCCATCCGCACTCACAGCATGAGTGCGACAACGCAGACCAGGAAGCACGGAATAACAGTACTCATCCCTCCAATAAAGGTCAGGCGGCGTCCGTGCTGCCCTCAACAATAATTCCACCCCACATCACCCCTCTGCATATTCGCAGCAAGAAGGCCCACACAGTGTACACTACATCAGGAGTTCCAAAAGCGCAAAACCGGATCATCAGAGTGCCGCCCTCTTCTCAATGTTGGGTAGAGGCTCCCTGATCCTTGTCGCCGCCAGCCTGCGGCATCACGGAGTGGCATTACGTTCTCGGCATATCTCTCCATTTTCCATCGCTGTCCCGATGCCGCAAATTAAGTGACGTCCCACAAGTGATTTCGACCGTTCCGAAGAACGTGACGTATCAGACTCACTGAAACTGTGCGTATGTGTTATTACGAGCGAGCGACACAATGCTCTCGCACATCCATGTATTCCGATCCTGCGCAACACCATATTCGGCGGTGCTGAAAGCGTTGGACACCGAACACGCACAAATCGCACAATGAATGCCCCTGGAGAACAAACCCCCCATTAACGTCGCCGTAGGCACCGTGACAACAAAGTAACAAAAGAAATCCAACCTCTGCGCGTCCTCCCGCAAGAAGGTGAAGAAACACACGCTTGTCCCCTTGGCCTCACTCCAACTGCTCAAAAGTTGATAGGTCTATGGCAGGAGGAATCACGCCACTCATCCCTCGCTCCCTGTCACGAGGCATGGCATTGCGCATATCCAGTGCATCTGCATCACCCACATACGTCCCTTTGGGGCATTCGCCTCGGTAGTCACCAAACACGCGCCGCTAGAAAGTGTACTCCCAGTCTATGCTGCTTCTCCTGAGCGACCTGCTACCTTGCCGCACAAACAAGTCCACAATTTACGCATTATGACTGCAGACACGTGCCAGTGGGGATCCCCGCCCTTTCCCTCAGCCCTGCAAACTGCGTGCGCCATACAAATGCCGGTCATGGGGCAGACACACACAGGCGCAGATACCCGTGACAGTGAGTGAGATACTCGCCGCAGAATGAGGTGCCGCAGGTCTCCGCTCACTGATCCAGATTGACCACGCTAAAGCCCACGATTCCCGTGGGTTTGGCATCCCGACAGGTCGTCGTGACTCGTTGACTCCCATGGTGGAGGAGTGCCAAGCAAGCAAAAATCAAAAGCCTGGACACTGTGGAGTAAAAAAAATAAAAAACACGGGCTGGCGCAGGCACAGCTAAGCGCCATGGGAGAAGCATCTCAGCTCATCCCATGGAAAACACTTCACCAACGTCACTGCAACATTGGCCTCTTGCTTCGTGGGTGTGTCACTTCTCTCTTCACTCCGTGCCGGCCTCCGTCCAATTCCCCGCCCACCAGCAATAAAAGTCACACTGCACTGCTTCCGCGCAATCACACCTCGCGGCCAATCATCGTGACGCACCGCCAACTGCGGTCGCATCCAACCTCGAAAGCCCTCGCACCCTCTTCCTCCCTCCTGTGTGTCGAGAGAAGACGCCTCTCTCGCGGTCTTTGCGTCCTCCCCAATAAAGCTCTGCAGTTGTGCCCAAACATCACCGGGTCTCTTGCCAAGAAGGAAACCGTGTGCGACGTGGCCAATGTGAGCATACACAAATTTAAAACACGGTTTATAGGCTCTCTGGAGTGCCCTGCGTGCGCCCGCATGCACGATGGGAACACACACGGTGCGAGTCGGGCGAGATCATCGTTCCAGCTCGCATCTCCACCAGGTGAGTCGTTGACGGCTCCATCCCGCTTCACGACAGGTCAAATAACAGTGCACACGTAAGTGCGCCGTGCTCTGCATTCACATGTGGTCCGCCTTTTGCGTCCAACGTCGTCAGGTGGTGGAAAGAGACGAGTCGCATTGTCATTCTTCCATTTGCTGCTGCTGCCGCCCCATTTCCCGTAAGGAGCCACTGATCCCTCTCTCCTTGGCGATAAAGGGTCCTCACGCATGGGATGCATCCCGCCTCGTGTGGCATGAGGAACAGCAGAGAGTCCCCAACGTTGCCAATGCGGGATTGACCGTCCAGTGCGGTGATTACAACACGCTGGGTCCGTCGGAGGATCGTCGTGCACGCTTCAGTCCGCCAGTGGCGGATACAATCCTCGGGCAGCCACGCCTGTGCAGAACAGAACACTCCTTTGGAGAACGCCGAGCAGCTCCACCGACGTGTCGGAAAAACTCACAAAAAGAGGTCCGGTCAACCTGCGGCACATTACCGTGCAACTTTAATACCTTGACATCGAGAAGAGCGTTTCTACCTGAGAGCGTTCGCCCCATCATTATCATCACTGCCCAAATCATCTCAACAGGCAACAATGGCATCGCTCTCGTATTGCACATGCCCGTTGGCCTCCTCCACCCGCCGCATCACGTCCGTATGAATGAATTCTCGTCATGCACAGCGATGCACCCCCTCGTTTCAGATAAATACCAATATTTTATAGTCACCAAGGTAGCAGTTCAGTTCTCCCTCCACAGGCACACCTCATAGAGGACGTCCTTCTGTTCCCTTTTCCGAATCAACGCACCGCACCCAGTGGATAAGCCCTGGTAGTTCCACCAAAAAACAAGTGTTCGATTCCCACAGTAGCGAATACTCTGTGTGATATGGAACGCACAGTTTATTGTGCTAGTGCACCGCCTCGACGGCCGCCTCGCAATGGTGCAAAGGTGTCATTGCCCCCGCCTGGGTGAGGCCTAAGCCCCACATTACACGCACACAGAGAAGCACACGGCGCATTTGAAAACATATTAATATTTTTCACGGCACATCTATGGGAAGGAGCACCACCCCCGTATGCATGTTGGCAAAGCAACGGCCCCACAACGGCGGTGCTAAAAAAACGCATCCAGAAACCGAGGAAAAAGAAGAAGGATGTGGAACACCCACAAGAAATGATGGATAGCCCACTTAAAAGCGGCAGCAAAGAAAAGGAAAGAAGCAGCAGCAGTAGTACTGGTGGTGACCATCATTTCCTTTTTTCTTCCCTTTACACGCTAATAACCCAAACACTTGGGGTTCAAAAGTCCACTTCTCACACGAAATTGTGCGGCAGTTAGCCTCTCTCCAACCAGCCGCCTCAATACATCCAAAAGAGCACACAAGGAAACCAAAAATAGCCATGGGAAAAAAAGAGAAAAACAATAAAATATCCCACGGCATTAGTACGGAGGCGGGGCGACACGCTTTTCGCACAAGTAGTCGTAAAGTTGGCCAGGGCAAAAGAGATCCGGGCCCGAGCAAACTCTGACGCCACAGGCGGTTATTGTGCTCCTTTGAGACTTTTCAGCCGGCTCCTGTTCCACCCGAAGGAAGAGAGCTGGCTGAATGTGATCCTCGCCGCAAAGAGCTGCCGCATCGGGGGCCAAAGAAACAAATCCTCCATATTGCGGGTGTCAGGTGGGCCACCCCACCGCATTTCCACGTCATTATCGCTCGCCTGCGCACGTGCGTCTCTTCACGTACCCCGTCGTTCCTCAAGAAGCCTTTCCACAGGAGTCTTCAAATGCAGTAGACGCTTGAGAGCAACAGGCCAAGCCTCGCAGTCGCTGTCAGTCTCACAAACCACTTCCAACGATTTCCCACCGCGAAGTAAAAGCGCGAATGCGCGGTGGTTTTTTGTTCCAAGGCGGGACGGAGTGATGTCTTGCGTGGGATCATGGCGGTGCGTCCCATTGTCAAAAACTGCCTCCTGGCGTGTTTTTGCCAGCTGTGCCTCGCCGCCGTAGTTCACAAATGAGGTTGTGGACAGGCCGATGAGAACTTTTTCGATGTCACATATCCACATGGTGACTGGAGGGCGTTTGCGATTTAACGGGAATCCCTGATGGTCCAGATCACAGGAATGAATACGTTTGCAGTCCTCCAAGAGAAAACATAGGCGTCTGCGAGCATTGCCCTTGCTCGGTATCTTTGTCACGCGGACCCTGTTGCGTAAGTAATTCAGCACCTGATCCACAACAGAACTGAGGTGGCGTTCCGTTGCCTCGGCATCATGCAGTTTTTCATTTTTCTTTGCCACGTATTCATCAAGCATACGCTGTCGATACACCTCGAGTCCTCGTCCCAGCCTCTCCTCGCGGGCCTTTTCCTCTTCAGCGCCGGCCAAGTATGTCTGCTCCTCTTGCGTGAAGACCTCGTCAAACTGGCGTCAATTAACGTCCGTCTCCTCCGGGTTCACAGGAATGTCTTCAACGGAAATGAGCTTCGGCAAATACTCCTCGATCATTTTGACGTCGGCAGCAAGAGCCCTCTCGGCGGCGTCCTCCTTGGCTGTCGCCTGCTCGCGCTTCTTCTTCCGCTCCTCGGCCAAGGGACGCACCTGTTCCGGGGATCTTGCATTCACTTCCTAATCTGATGGATCCACTGCCTCCGCTGGCGACACCGCTCCTCCCGGACGGTCCTTCGCACCGCCTCAATGGAATGCCGCTCCCGCATGACGGCCTCTCGCCCCCTCACCCCGTCAAGTTGAACCATCTCGAGCTGCTGCTCCCTCGTACAAATGGCGCTCTGCCGTAGGCTGAGTCCTTGCTCCGGCTGCTGCATCGCCTGCCGCAACCTCTCAGAGGCACTCTCCTCGTCCTGTTTCCTCGTTCGGATCTTCTCCAGCTTATGCTCGCACCCCCAATTGCGGCTTTCGCGGTCAGCCTGCAGAGCACTGCTCTCCCGCTTTTTCGCCTCCAGAGCCCTCCCAAGTTCATCCAACGTGGTCCCACTTCTCTGCTCAAGCTCTTTGATCATCTTCTCCGCCTCATGCTTGGCGCGCTCGAGAAACACACTCAGCTGCCGTTCCCGCGCCTCCTCACGGTTGCTCTCAATGGCGTTGAAGCGCTTCATCCCTTCCTCTTTTATGCCTGAAATGGCCTGTTGGACTCATAGCCACAATGCCTGTGGTCGTACACGGCCCGGGCAATCATGAGTTCATCCCGCAACTCCATGATGTCCTGATCAAGACGCCACTTGTCAACGGCAAGATCCCTTGTGGCGGATCCGATTCCGGTCGAGACAAGAATATTACCAACACGACGAGTCGTGGAGAGACAATGGAACGATTCCTCCGCCCACACGGCATCCGAAAAGGCGTGAGCCAATAAAGCCGTCTCGGTAGAACCAGTGAGGCTATTGTTGCGGTTGCCTTTTTCCGTGTTGTACGCTCGGCGCAACAACTCACTGAATTCTGACATGCCGAAGGGAACACGCAGACGACGGCGGCAAATGCCGGAGACAATTCCTGCTGCCGACACCAGTGCTTGTTGGGCCCCTTCGTGTTGTGGCTGCGCGGTGGCATCAATGCCACACAAAGCGGGCCGTCCGGCATCTCCCAATGCGACAAATGTCAGGGAGTTTGCATCCATATAATGTGCAAACTCCGCCTCACCATCATCGCGGTAAAGCTGAAGAACGACGGTGTCGGGCAAATAGGAAGGCATTGCCTCCAGCTCAGGCGTTGGCTGCTTTTCACACAGCACGGGGAAAAGCTATTTCTCATAGTTTTTGACAATAATGTCCATCGCCGCTCGAGCGTCGCCGGCCAATGAGACACGAATTCGCGCCACCATTCGCACACGAGGTCCCTCCCTCACGGAGCCCACAATAACGCCGAGCTCGTTGTCGGCGTCAAGAAGGTCTGCGCGGTGCTCTGTTGACCCAATGACGTGGCATGAGAAGACAAAAATGCCCTTTTTGGCGCCCAGCCGAATAAATTCAGTGATGACGCAAGCAGCATATCCTTCTCCGGCTGCAGAGCCGTACATGAGTTGTCGCCTTGGTGAAGAACGCACGCCGTAGCTGATGGCCACCATGTTCTTGCGTTCCTGAGTAAAGTTGGGGGCGGCAGTGGCACACAATTTTCGGAAGAGTGTACTTGCGTCCGGCACGTCCAACGCCTCAACGACGTCAAATAAGGCTCCAGCAACCGCAAATCCGGCATCCCTCAGGGGCTGGGGGCGATACAACTGCACCCTGCTGCCGTCCACCCGCACTGTCGCGGGGAGCTGCGAGGACGGCATCGTGGTTTGGTGGGAGCAGAAACGGCTTTCGCCTCCATTGGGAGAATATCACATTGAATGCTGCGCTGTGCATTTGTTGCATGCACAGACAGGAGGGTCAAAGACAGAAAGAAAGCAAAGAGGAGAAAGACCGAGAGGGAAACAACAATTCATAATCTTCTGGGCCGCTGGCCGGACTCTGAAATCATCCAAAAAGGACAGGAAAAAAAGCGGTAAATGGAGAGGCAATGAGCTCGCCGTAATGTTTTCCCCAAAATATATGCACATTCTGTCAATCACTGCCGTGGACTGCTGCGCACAGTTACAAATTAGAAACACTTATCCCCTGCGAAGCGGCAGGCCTTTGGGGTCCTCCACCCACAAGGGTGGGAATCACAAATTGGGTGGGACGGAAAAAATAAAAAATAATAATAATTTCGTCTTACAGCTGTTGGCTCCTTGACTCCCTCAATCGCGGTCTCCCAAAAGACCGTACGATAAAAGAGAAAAAAGTTGTGAAGAGATATCTTCGTTTGCGCGAGATATAAATTTATTTGGGCAGCCAGCCGTCCTCGCAGGCATTCTTCTCACAAACTCCCATAAGAAAAAAAAGAAATTCTGCGGCCCCCACATCCCGCAAAGGCCTCCAGGGGCGACGGAGCATTCACAGAAGTAAAAAAAAAATGAAAAAATGAAAAAATAGTTGTAGTGGTGCGACACTCTTGACCACGATAATTCTCTGAAAAAAAGACATTCTCTGACCTAACCCTGCAGAAACAAAAATATAAAAGCCGTAAAAACACTCGCTAACATAATCCATCATAAACGCACTGCGCTAACCTCCTCAATTATTTCTTCAATCTTCTCGTCTAAGCTTTTTGCCTCACGAAGTTTCAGCATCTTCGGGATTACAACATGCGCCTAAGAAAACACTCTGTCAGCGCAAACTGGTACTGATGTGTGGTTTCCCAGAACTCCGCGATCCTCTCATGATCAACATCTCCCACACTCGGCGGGTCGACGACATCACATCTCTGCCAGTCATTCATCGGCGTGCCGTCTGCGTCCTGCACATAAATAATCTCCCACGACAATCCTTGAGCAAATTCACCCCAACCATTAAAAAACTCCGATAGATACTGAGTGAACTGCCACACGGTGCTGGTTGTCGTGTGATGCTCGCCCGCCGTAGTCATCCGCAGCCCCACCAGCGTCCTCCGCGGTGACTCCACGAAGAAAAAGCAGTCCACCAGCGGAAAGTCCCTGGCTACCGGCATGTACAGCACCTGATAATTTATATTTTGTTTCTCATTAATTCCTCCAACTCCAGGTATTTCACGTATTTCGGTGGGGTGCGCTCCAGGATTTGCTTTCATCACTGTGTCCTGAATATCATGTGCTGGTGGCCTCAGCTCCTTGAGTTCCTCTGCCATTGCACTGACAAACCCATCAAGGATGAGCGCGCACAAACAAAACCTGTCCGTACATGCGGACGAAATAGTTTTCCTCGACCCCAATACTAGCAACAAAAAGCCTTTCTCACTCATTGCCTTTGCCAAAATATTCGCTGATCGAGACCCAAGGAAATAACATATCGGTGCGTTACGAAACCTCTCAAGACTGCGTTCTCCTCTTATTCGGACAATCCTCACGAGTTTTTCGGACGGATCCTTAGAATACCATAGCCCCCTTCCCGGAAGTATAAAGCGACTGTCAGCATACCGAGAATTGATCGCTTCCAAGGCATTTTCAACTGCACCAAATCGTGCTTTAAAATCTTCCGCACGAAAGATATGCTGTGGAAGCGGCCCCACTTTTTCCATGCGTTCTTCGACCATCTTCCAGCATTCCGCTTTTTTCCCCGCAGTCTCGTCACGCTTCATCCATGCACACATCGCCTTCACATCCATCTCGTCGGGGCAATTCATGATGATTCGCGTGGCTTTTACTTGAGTCGCCCATCCATCATAGTTGTCCAGGTTTGGGGATGACACCACAATCATGCCCCATTCACGAAAAGAAGCAAAATAACTCGCTGGCGGTGTCTCTTGCCATGTCACATCGTAGATAATGTACCCCTTAATTCCACGCTGCCACAAACCATACAAAACAATCTTGGAGATTTCATTACCCTCGCATTTTGTCACCGTCTGGATGGTCTTGTTAAACACGTACGTCGTAGCTCCAAAACAGTGGACAACCACTTGGAGTTTCTTGATATCGTAGTGCAGCAGCTGGTAGAGGAGGTACGAACTGGCAGCCAAAGATTTCCCGATCCCGGGCGTCCCCATCAACACACGCTTCTTGGGCGTAAAGTCGGCCTCACCGTGACTGCTGAACCATTCGGTGAGATCGCTGCTGACGATCTGCCACGCTCGCTCCACCTCACAGTTCACATAGCAGTCATGAATGAATTTATGCTCCTCCCATTTCCACGAGTACGGCCATCCCTTGTCCGAGGCGAGCACCATCAGCCTGAGACGTGCTGCACCGGATTGCTCCTCATCGTTATTCTTTTCGAGAGTGTCGCCAACCGCCTTGTAAGTCCATGACTGTTCTGGTTTCCCTTCCCTCACCTCCAGTCCCGTCCCCTCGCCGCCAGGGACCTCCACCACATGGCTCCACCTCGCATTGTACACAGACTCGTACAATCTCTCCAGGTATATCGGTGCACTCGTCGTCTTTGGATTCCTCACATCCACGAGGGCTGCATCCAAAGTATGCTTGGTGATGCCATTAACGCTTGCTTTTACCTCCGCAGCAGCCTCTGACCACTTCAGTAGATTGTCCACACCTTTATCGCAAAGGCTGCGTAAATCTTCACAAAAAGCCATTTCCTTCCTTACAGCAATCTCCATCCTCACATAATTATATAATGTCTTTATTTCGTTCAATAATCCCTCATCGCCAATGTACCTCTCAGGGTCCCTAACAAACTCCTCCAGCAAGACATTCCGATTTGCTTCCACGACGCCCCTTCCGCCCAAATGGACCGTAAGAAAATCATTCAGCTTCGTGTTATTGGCGCGAACTCTTCCCCTCAACAGCACATCTTCGATATTGGTGGAAAGGGTAATTTTTATTTGTTGCTTTTGCCTTGTCCTTTCCTTTGCCTTCCGTCTTGCCCTTTTCTCTGCCTCTCTTTCTGCTTCTTCTCTCCACAAAAGAAGGGCTGCGTCGAGTGCTCCCTTTGCAATGGGAGTGACCGTATCCTTTCCTTCAAAATCCCTCCACTGTGCAAGCAAGAACACGCCTTCTCCTTTCAGTTTATATGCAGCCTCCAGTAGCATTTTCATCGCTCGGCATAACGGGAATTCCGCTAATGTGCACGATAACGTTTCGCCGTTGGAAAAAAGCATGGGGTTCGTAAGAAACATCTCCATAGAGACGTCCTCATTGGCGTCCACAACGCCCCTGCCGCCAAGAAAATTACAAAGGAATTCGTTCAGCCCCATGCTGGTGATGCGATCCTTTCCCCCCAACAGCACATCCTCCACCCGACTGTCAAGGGTCCACTTCGTTTGCTGCCTTTTCCCCACTCCTCCGCAAGTCGCAGCGGGGTGATAGGTGTCAGTATAGGACTCCGGCCTCGTTCTCTTCCGACAATCCCCTTGCGGCACAGTGGGCGCTCGAATCTCCACATTGCCGCCTTGTACACTCTCCGGCCTTCCAGCAGGCATCGTTTCTCCTTGTCTTTCTGTTTGGATTGAGTTAGATCTAAACAATAACCACCCAACGTGGAGAATAAGAAAGAGAAAGACAATAGGCACAGTCGTGACTCGCAGCCACAACAAGAGAGTCACCCGCACAGTGTGACGGCACAGTATTCGGTGCACACCATACGCACGAGGAACACCACAACGATATGTGAATGTCATCCACCCAGCACAGTGTTGGTGAGAGCCAACAACAACAACGTGGTGCGCACGGAGGGTTCGCTCACGCATACCGCTCGCCACAGTCCCCGCACCCGTGCGGCACCGCCCTTACCGCAAACACTCTGCAGAAATACATGTAGGTATAGCCCCTAACACAAAAAAGTGGGAAGAGAATTCGGTGCAGCGACGGCCACACGCAGGTATCACAAATCATACACGCCACAGCAGAAATGCATCATGAAAAGCTCCCACACAAGGAATATATATACATAGAAAATTTCTGCAATTCGCACAGCACAAAAGAACCATGACGCTTCTTTTCCCATTGCATCCGTCATTCACATTCCCAATGCGTAACCCTGCGGACAATACCCCTCCATGGTGAAAACAGCTGCCTCGTTGTGGTGTCATCGCGCAGCAATCCGCCTGAGTAAAAACAAAGGGAAAATCAGGCGTCCGTCCTTATGGAATGAGAAAGCACTCCAAAAAAGTGTCTTAGTTAAAGCAAACACTCCGCGGCCAGTGCCCGGTGTCTTGTGCGGAGTCCGCGAGGAGGTTTTGGGCACGCCACTGTGCCACACGGATTGCCCCCTCGAAACACAACAGCTGAAGTGTCCCCTTCCAGTCGCACTCGTGGCGGTGGCGGCATCCGCTGCCTCGCTGCGTGCTGCTAGCGTCGACTACGATGCTGCATAGTGATATAGAATGCCCGACAGGAGCGGTGCTGCGTTGGGCAAGGCCCTCCCTTCCGCGGCGAGACGCTCAGCGCGACTCTTGACCGCGGCGCCCACGCACTTCCCTCCACTCCTCTCCCTCCATCCGGCAATCGCACAGTCACCAGCACATTGTCCCCGAGACAACACACAGTTGAAAGCGTGGTAGCATATTCTCCGAGAGAACAGAGTGGCAGCCACACGCTGCGGCCATCGGGCCGACAAGTCCGACGCAAACACACCCACACCCACAGCAGCAGACACAAAAAAAAAGATCCTCCACTCCATGCCACGTCCTCGTGCGTGATGGTGCGGCGCTTCAGAGCAATACCGCCACACGCCGTGCAGCATTCCCACAGGGGATGAGAGCCGCGACGCAATCTCACCGCCTCCCCCTTCCTTCTCCTCATGTCCACGGAGTGACGCAGCTGCCAGCACCAACTGCAGGAGGAGCATCCAACTGCAACGCAAAATGTACGCCGTGCGTTTGTGTGTGTGCCTGCAGTCACGCAAAGAATAAAAAAAGAGAAGAAAAAAAGAGAGCCACGCACGTGAAGGGGCGCACACAAACACGCAGCAGAGGTGCAGGACGGAAAAAAAGGGAGGATGAAAGCCGCTGAGGCTCGAGATGGCACGGCAGCCAAACCAGCGGCAACCCAAAATAATTTTCCTAAAATAAAAATAAGTTAGAAATTTTCTAAAGCCCCTTTAAAAAAACTTGCACACCCATAAAAGAACTAAAAAAAAAAAAAATCTCATCGTGACGCGGCAAAAAAAGAAAAAAAAAAACTGCTTGTAAATTATTCATGCAGAAGTAAAAACACATTTGCTTCGACCGCTCAGCCCTATTTTGTCTACACAACACCCAAATTTCATTGGGGCGCTCAGTGCGTTTTTTTTCTTGCATCCCAACTCCTTTTTTTTTTTCCACTCCGCCATCGTCGTGGCGCCCAATGCCGAGTGCATTTATCATCGGCAGGCGGAAACATTAAATGCAATCCGCCATTATCAGAAAACTACACCATATAGGAGAAGACAAATATACGTATATATAATGAAAGAGAAAAACAAAAATATATAACCAGCGGTGCAGTCCCGGGAGGGGGAGCGCGCCCTTACATAACGACTTTCATGGGGGGAAGGGCATTCAAACCAAAAATAAAAATACATAAAATAAACGGTGCATCCACAAAAAAATTGGCAATTACTTCGGAGGGTGCGTGGAGAGGCACATATGCTCACGCCGGTGGCAGGAAGTCCTCACTGCAATTTCTCAGTAAAGGGCCGCAATGCCCCACATCCCCAGCAGCAGCAGCGCCCGCGACACGCTCCCATGCATGGAGTCGTCACTTTTCCTGTCCTTGATTGCAGTCATCTCAGTGGGATTCAGTGGGCGGTTGTACAGAAAGACGTTCTTCACCGTCACAGGAGAGTTGTGCATTTCGCACGCGCCAAAGCAAAAGCGCACAAGCCCAAGTGGTGTCTCACCTGTTAACATCGTCTCCTCTTCCCCCAGCAACTTGCCATCAATGTACACAGAAGCCTTGTTGCCTTGCAGCATGAGTGCCACTTGGTATTCTTTCCCCGACTCCCAAGTGCCACTTTTTGTTATCTTGTCGTTGAACATAGTTACCCATTCTTTATCCGCGGTATACAAGACTCCCATGGTAATCGGGGAATTGGTGTCCCCCAACGTCGCACCCAGTAGAGGAGCGTCCGCAGTCGGAGCCTCTTCAATGGTCACCGACGCCACAAGTGTGAAGTTGTGGCTCAAAAACACATGGCGCACATTATTACCCTGAGTGTTCACAGGCCACATTACCCCGGAGTCAGGCTCCGTCAACTGAAATCCATCCTTGACCTTCTTCGCGTTCGTCACCGTCGCATTCAGGCAAAGGTACTCGTCGTACCATCTCCCATCACCGGCCGCATCGGACAAAACTGCCACCAGACCCACCGTGGGTATAGACACGCTGGAGAAGAAAACGTCCTTTTGCGACCAAGTGCTGAGGACGGACTTGATTGTACTCAGTTCCTCCGTCAGGCGGGAAAGTGAAATGACACGGCCTTTATCATTGGCCCTCCGTTGTAAAAGATGCAAATTGCCATCCGAGTACAGCAGGCCGCTGGCGAACTCCCACCTCACAGCAGCCTCCTCCACGGCAACCGGTCCAAAATAAAACGAGCGGTTGTTGTCCGTCACCCAAAGGTAGAGCGGATTGGCGCTTTCCCCCGAGGCGTACCCTCTCTGAATGTACAGCATGACCTTCCTGCCCTCAATGGTCGCGGTGATGAGGGCCTCCACACGCAGGCTTAAATCCTGAAGGAATGATCTTGATTTGACCCACACGCCTGGGAGTGTCCCGATGGCCTCCGTCCACGCTGTCCCCATGTCACGCGACTCGTACACATTCTGTTCATCCTCGCAATCAACAATCATGAGAAGTGATCCCTCCCACTCTGTGATGCGGGGGAAACGGCATTCCGCAGGGGAAACGCCCTCAGATAGCGACCAGGTACTGCCGTTGTTCGTCGAATAAATGATCATGGAACAAACGTTTTCTGCTTCATTCTTCGCCATCACAGGAAACACGAGCGTGCCATCCTCCATCAGAACACCTAAGCCACCAGAAGAACCAAAATCCTTCAATCCAGCTTTGGGTGTCTTTAAAGTATTCTGGCTTAACGATGTGGGTGTGCCCCACGTGATCCATCCTCTCTGCTCGCTCGCCGTAGGCTTCGTGACATCACCCACAACCAGTTTCAGATCCAGGCTGTCCCTTTTCCAACTCCCACCACTCTGATTGAGCACGTCATAGCTTGTCGCAAGAAGAAACACCTTGTTACCCTTCGTTGTTGCTGTGGGGTTGAACACATCGCCCACACGATTCGTTCCATCCGTTGTATCAAGCACGGTGTGTGCCTTCCATGTACTTTCACTCACCTTTTCAACAAGAGTGGACCAATCCCACGAAGAGTCGATGTACTCCGCAACAACATCGGAAGAAATTGGCTTAATTAATACATCATCAACGGTATATTGGGCATTTATTATGCCTCTGGCAAAAGCAGCAATTACTCCACCAGCATTGACAAGAGATGGTGAAACAAATGAATCCCGCTTCGTCCCTGGAGTACCTCCACCCTCCGGCAGAACCGGCGTCGTCTGCGGCACAAATAGATCGACCCATTGCAGCCCCTCAACACTTCTTAAATCACTGTTGCCATCATTCTCCCTTGCAGGCGTAGCTCCACAGGTGGCGCAGCACATCGTCGTGACGAGGAGCAGCAGCACCGCGGAAGTAAACACACGCCGGGACATGTTGAGCCTCGGCGGCTCACTCTCTCCTCCTTCCCTCCTTCTTCCGCGGGATCCGGTCACGCGGCGACGGTTGTTTGTGCGGGGTGCCTTCACCGCAGCAACACGTGAGAGCATACAAATATGTGTGTGTGGGCGGTGTGTGTGCTGTTGGTCCTATCAGTGCCTTCGAAATTCACAGTAGCGATTGGCGCTTGTTTGCTTGCTTTCCTTCCTAGCGTGTCTGTCCAAGAAGTGGAGAAGGCAGCGGCGGCAGAAAGACAACAACAACGGTACACACCGCCACCACTCAAAGCAAAGCACAACATCAACATCCCCGCAGCCATTGCTCCCCAGTACCCCCAACAGCATAAATAAATGTAAAGTATTTAAAAAGCGAGCAGCCTCCCAGTTGGGGGCCGCGGGCAATGGCCTTGCAAAAAAGAAAAATGAGAGGGGTCCACTCGTGCAGTGAGGGAAACAAGCGTTGCACTGCAAAAAAAGCCAATTAGTGAAAATAAAACCACAATGCGAGTGGCACTGCAAAGGCACGGCGGCGTGACACCACGTGGGGAGCATCGATGCAGACCAGCAAATCGCCTGCAGGAAGAGTTGCTTCTCCCGCTGAGCAGAGAGGAAAAACAGCCTCAGCGTCCCAATGATGAGAGGTCGTCTGCACCTCCTCGCAGCACCTGCAAGCTTGGCAGACACAAAGATGCAGATGACGCTCTGCTGCACGCATGACGGCCGTCGCACCATTCACAATGGCAACCGCATCCTCTGGCACCACA